TTTTCAGTTGGCGAACGCAAAATGTAGCACCAGCATTCGAACTGGTTCAAGGAATAACAAATGTGGAACAGCACTAAGGCGACGTGTCAGGACGAAAGTTTCTCTGGCTGTTATATGCGTCAGAAGGAGTTCCTACAAACCCACACGTGCATACACATCACAGCATGTTCTCACCAACCCCCTTACCCCCCATCCTGTCCACGTTCCTCCATCAGTCTCGTGCACGTCGCTGGAGTGATGATGATGATGATGATGTGGCATTGGAAAGAGGATCACTTCATTACATTTCTACAACAATCCAGTTCCATATGAGGATCAGGATCATTATTATTGGACTAAATCTCCTTCTTTGGTATTGCAGGAAAAGGAAAACTATTCAAGAAGGACTTGAAGGCACTTGACACTTGTGTGTTTGAGTTTGACAGACATGAGCAGACTTTTTTTTTTTCTTTCCATCTGCTCCACATGCACACTGATCATCATCATCATCATGGGTTATTATTGCATATTGAATACAGTATGCATGAGAAATGAATGAGTGTACTGATACAGGAGCTATATTATAGGCCTCAAACGGAATGGGTTTATTCTGCTGCCTCATCGTGCTCGTTTGTAGCATAAATGCACTTTAAAAACTGCAGTCTGCAAAAAGAGGACAGTCATTTTGAATTAATCTGACATTACTGATTACTGTTTATAGCACATGTAGCAAAGTGGAGCTCCTTCTTGCTCAGTAGATGTTAAAGTTGAATTTTCCATATGCAAAAAATGAAAGATAGTTAGAGATAAAGATTCTTAAGAGCCCCAATGACCGGCTGTTTGAGCATTTTAATAAACCGGGTGATGTTAAAATAAGAGTAACAGTAACGCAAACCAGGCTACGTGACATGGCCACTTCCTGAGCAAGAAGGCACCTAAACCGTCGCCATTCATTCAGACTTTACTGTTATAAAACCTCACCTCATAACTACACGCTTTCCCTTGACATCCACTTTGTCCAGGGTGAGCTTGTTTGACAGAGACATCTTGGAAAGCTACTCTTTTCAGTCGTTACTCTCTGGTATGCCGCAGGCTCCTGTGGGCTGAGAGCTGTTCCTTCGCGAATGAGAGTGACCTTAGCTTCAAGCGCACGCACACGGAGTGGGCGGGCATGTTTAGGAGAATCCTGTGCTTATTGGTTGATGTCAAGAGAGAGGGGGCGGAGCTAGTATAACTGCTTATTCAGTTATTGGCTGCGCTTGCTGTCTATCAAACAACTCACCGCAACGTCACTCTATCCTTTTATTTGGCGACTGAAAACAAATTATCTTGGAGTAGGATAACTAGTAATTAAACACTGGATGAAAATGTCACTTCAATTTAAAAAAAAATATATGCATAACGAAAAAAAAAAAAAAGCCGTTTGTGGTTTTGACGTTAGTGTCATACGTCACGTACGCAATGGTTTCTATAGAGATTCGTTCTCGATGGAAAAGACACAATAGCGACATCTTGTGGACGTTTATAGATTCATTATTCAGAACGATGTTAAACGGGAAGAAGAACAAGATACAACAAAACACAACTGAAAAGAACAGAAGCACACATTCAGAACCTGTACTGTAGTGTTATCTTTGTTTTTTTTTTTTTTCTGGAAGCAGCTATACACAACCATAAAGTGAAAAAATATATATATTCAGCATCCATTCAAAGTAACATCAATAACTAATGACAAATCGAATGCATCCCACAGAACTAAAGAAAATGCAACACAAACAGCTTTCATACAAACTTATATAACACATAGATATGCTCATATGGCCAAAAGTTTGTGAAAAGATGACCATCATGCTCATATGTGTTTCTTCCAAAAAACTGTTGCCACAAATCACACAATTGTCTAGAGTGTCTCTGTATGCTGTAGCATTACAATTTCCCTTCACTGGAACTAAGAGGCCCAAATCTGTTCCAGCATGACGATGCCCCTGTGCACAAAGCGAGCTCCATGAAGACATGGTGTGTGAAGGTTGGTGTGGAAGAACTCGAGTGTCCTGCCCAGAGCCCTGACCTCAACCCCACCGAACACCTTTGGGATGAACTGAAACACCGACTGCACCCCAGACCTCCTCGACATCCCAACATCAGCGCCTGATCTCACTAATGCTCTTGTAGCTGAATGAACACAAATTCCCACATCCATGCTCCAAAATCTAGTGGAAAGCTTTCTCAGAAGAGTAGAGCTCATTATAATTGCAAAAGGGGGAATAAATCTGTAATGGGATTTTAAAAAAATAATAATAAAAAATCACGTGTGAGATGGTCAAGTGTCAACAAACTTTTGGCCTTATAGTGTACACCCCATCATCAGCTTAACAGGTATCTTTACCTTCTGTCTACACTCATTTGACAGATGCATTTACCCAAAGCAAGTGACAGACACTTGAGCTGAACAGATTTGGGATTTGAACTTACAGCTTTCTGATCAGTAGCCCAAAACCCTCACCACTGATCCACCACCCCCTCTTTAATCATTTAAACAGAATTACCTGCCATATAGGTGCACAGTTACTGACTAGCATCTCACTACTTCCTCATACATCAGTGCTACATAACCATCGTATTACTTGATATGATTTGAATGCTTGATCATTGTGAGCACAGCACTGACACTGAAATGGTAATGGCATTGTGTGTGGTGCTAGTGAGAGTATCAGGCCCAGCAGCATTACAGCTTTTTTTTTTTGTAAATACATCAAGGTCATTCCAAGGCTTAGAATAGGCCACTGACAAAAATCTCCAGGAAACAGCATCCTGTGGTCTATTTTGACCTATGTAACCTATGTAAGTTGACCTACGAATAAAGCAACCTTAATATAAGCTTATGGGCCCAATATCACAAACAAACAAACAAACAAACAAATAAATAAATAAATAAAACATCACAAAACACCACAAAGCACTGTATTTATATTTAATTTATTAAATTTTTACAGACACATCAGACCAACAGGGTTTAAGTGTAAAGCATATCCATTAACAAAATGGAAAAGTTCACAAAATTTCAGGATATTCCTAAATGTGGTGTTCCCATTACTCCCTCCATTCCTTAGGTTGGACCTTGCCAATGGGAGACAGATTCCATGCGATGCCAGTTGATGTGATCACCTGCAACCATTAAACACAGCAAAAGATGCATGGTTATAAATGCATAAATGTATAATTTGGGTGGAATGTGGAGACAACACGGAGACATTATGGACACCTACGTAGGCCCAGATTGCAGTGCAAAACGTTGCTCCACTAATCAGCAGTGGCAGGCCGTACTTCGCATGGAACTCCCGGGATGCGCCTGAAGAAGCATGTCGCACAGCAACCTGGCGGCTGGCTTGTCCTGAGAGGGGGAAAAACAGCACACTGACCATTATATTATGTGTTCATTTTGTCAGGGCTAGGACTAGTAAACACGAGTTAAGGGCACAGAATTCTGTACACGTGACCCTTTTTCTGCCAATACAACAGTAAAATATTAAAATACACCAATCTGTCACGTGATAAATGTTAACTTGTATTATCAGTATTTGCTCCGCTTTCCATCAAAACTGTTTATATCGCCACCCATGCTGTGATCTCTCTCAAAATCTCTTCCGACATTGACAGTCGACCTATATGACACGAAAATAGCTTGTGGGGAAGTGTTGGAAACGCTAATGCCATGAAGACGGTATCATGCCATGCCTAATTAAATAAAATGTTTTTCTATAAGGAACGTAGCATCATATTATATTAGATGAGCGCTGCACCAAATACTGATCAGAAAGATTCCCTGTAAAGGAATTAGGTCTATTAGGTCAATTCTACTAAGAAAAAGGAATACTCTTCTAATAAATATTCATCTTGTTTCATTACAACCTGAATGAAATCAGACATTTTTCCACTATCCACTAAAATGACGTCAGAGTGTATGGAACACAGTACTATTACATCAGGTGACATTTTTATACTAAAATTTAGAGGTATTTATCAAACCCCTTTGCTTCAATTCAGTCTTGTGATAAACGCAACAGTAAAGACGACACAGCTACACCAGGTAAAGCACTGACTACCAGTTAGACCTCCATTTTGTGAATATTACACTTTAATATATGTATATATATTGTACTGCCGCAAAACGTTGTAAACTGTTGTAAACTGCTGCAAACGTCCTTACATAACATTGTGTGACATTACGACAGCCAGCTAGCCTACTTCCCGGAAGATATTAAATGATAGACGTAAACCTACAGGAATTAGGAAAAGCATATAAAATAATCAATTAATTGTCCATTTATATAACTAGCTTTATGTTAGGTTAGTTAGTTAACTACCTTCTTTGTCTAGTATTGGTTGGTTAGGAAGTTGTGCACATTAGCTAAGCTAGCTTGTTAGTACCATTGAATTTCTATCCAGTTTTAATTTCCAGCTCCACACAGTTTCACGTAAATGAAATGACAAGATAAGAAAAAACAAACGTAAGCACATCTTCAGCCTTACCACTGAGGTTTAGAGCAGCTTTGGCGAAGCGGTACATGCTTGTCAGCTGAGGCTGAGGTTGACTCTGTACACGATACCCTTGAACGGCGGAAAACAAGATGGCGGATGGCGGATGTCGCACACCGGAAATACGTAAAACCGCTAGGGGGCACTGTGCGAATTTCACACAGGGTGTTGCGCATATTAGCGAATAGGTATTTTGTGATTTTCTGCGCTGTAAAAATAATTTAATTTGATCATTTCACTATCAAAATTCGCGAGTACGGGAGCGAATACTGTACAGTGCTTTAAACTTAAAAAAGTAAACAATAAATAGGTTTCCTTTCGCAACCCGAGCTAACTTAGCTAGCTAACATAACATTGTGTGACATGATACAGCTGCTTTAGAATCCAGCCAGCCAACACACAAGACGCTATATCTCGATTTAGAGGAAATACCGACTACTTATATAATATTTAAAAGCTGTACTGTGTGAAAATTTTACACCCGTGTCAGGATGGCCGAGTGGTCTAAGGCGCCAGACTCAAGGGTTCCTCCCTTCCGCACTACCGGGTATTCTGGTCTCCGAATGGAGGCGTGGGTTCGAATCCCACTTCTGACACATTACTTTTCTTCCCCACTCAATGCAAATAGTTCAAAAAAATATTTCTAATGATCAGTCATTGCTTGAGGTAGCTTGGGACTGTGGTGGCTTTGGGGGCTGCGGTTGCTGTGAGCAGTTTTGCACTCAGGTCTCCATCAGTAGACAGTAGATGAACTTCATGTGAAAACTGTAATGAATTTACTGGTTGCACAATTGTACTATTTGTCCATGTAGTACACAATTATAGAAGGGATATATTTATAATAACACTATCCATTATCACCCAGGTGAGGATGGGTTCCCTTCTGAGTCTGGTTCCTCTCAAGGTTTCTTCCTCATGTGGTCTCAGGGAGTTTTTCCTTGCCACTGTCGCCTCTGGCTTGCTCATTAGGGATAAATTCACACATTTACAATTTATTTTGATTTGATGTATTTTGAATGTATTTATTTCTATAAAGCTGCTTTGTGACAATGTCCACTGTTAAAAGCACTATACAAATAAAATTGAATTGAAATATTGTGCACTCTGGTGACAGTCCATGTTATAGAAATTTCTTTACACATTTAATGACTTCATTCATATTTATAACACAAATCACAATCTTTATAGCAGGTACTGTTTATCGATGGTACATATTTTAAAAATGATTAGTGGTCTTGAGTTTCTGGTCAAATGTGATTATAATTTTTCAGAAATTCCTCTTGAAGTTGTCAAATTTTCACAAACAAGTCCTTTGGTTCCGGACTGTGATTTTTGCCCATAATTTTCTGTGCCTTCTTTGAAATTATGTGGTGTCAATCTCCTTGATATAAAGTTCAGTCTAACAGTCTTATTTGAGTTGAGTTTAAACACTTTATTTATTTTTCCCAGTCATGTTCTTGAAGTTGAAGCCTTTTTTCGCCGCTTGTTTTTGTATCCTTTCTTCCACCTGCTCATTGTCTGAGCAGAATGTCTTATAGTCAAATTGTATGTTACCTGTTTTTGCTGTGTATTTGAGAAGCAAATAATAACAGAACACTCAAACAGAAAAAAAGAGTGTGCACTACACCAACACAACTATGATTGAGATTTGACATAGTACACCAATACTGTTAGAGGAAATACGAATACAAATACCTCTATTGTCATTGTACAAGCACAATGAAATTCAGTTTCCCCATCAATGAGCAGTTGTATGTGCGTTTCTAATGAAGTGGCCGATGAGAGTATAGTATATACAGCCACTACTTGTGCTACTGGTTTTATGTCAAACTGATTTGGTCATTAAGTTCAGAGTGACACAAACTTTGAGAAAATAAATAAATAAATCACCTCTGACCAAGAGCATCCTGGCCAAATTCACATTTGGTGCAAATAATTATATAACTTGCTGCTTTTAATGTTAATAGTAAAGATAACCCTATCAAATACCAGCACTACTATACTACATATATTACTACATTGTTTCCCAATTTTGGACTCTCAGTTATGAATATTTACATCTGAACCTCAAACCTGACTGGGAAATGCATGCATCTCTACAGAAATGTGAACCGTTACATGTTTATAATAGAAACAGTGAACACAGATGATAAATTGATTAAATGGTTTTCACCTGTGTTGCTATATGCAATTTATCACTTTTATTAATACATCATAAGTATGGACTCTATGGAGAGTTTTATAAATTACACTCTAAGATTCTGTATCAGTTAGAAACCAATGCCATGTTGTATTCAAAATGTTATGCAAAGCACAACAGTCTCTGTCTCACTCACACACACACACACACACACACACACACACACACACACACACACACACACACAGACGGACTGTATGAACTGTCCAGCGATTAAAACAGAAACATGACATTGCGGTTTTTACAGTGTGTATGTCACAGCATGTATTTGAGATTCAAGACTTGGTTCTGGTTATTAGAAATTGGCATTAAACTCACATTAAAGTAGAATCATTAGAGTTTTAACTAGCTGGCAAATAAGAACGTGGCCAAGTTAATATGAAAATTTGTTTTAATAAGTATTTTCAGGTACAAGTGCTTCATAGACTCTTATTGTTATTAAGGTCCCAGTCATGGAATGTTAGATTTTGTCTACATTTGTAGAATTATACGTCACATTCCTGCTTTCCTCATGTATTATTTTGAAATCTCATTAAAAAAAATGTATATGTAGTGTATCATAATTACTTGCATTTTAAATATTACTGTTAGATGAAATGCCTTAACAAAGCATCACGATAATAACATTGTGGTCCGCGTTACTTGAGTATGTTGCACCTAAGTATAAGAATGACATTTGCTCCTGCTGCTGCTGTCAGGTAGCTCTTTTAAGAAAAATGCTGATTGAAATCATCTTAGCACAGATTAATTATGGCATGCTGAAACGTGAAGGCATGGTGGTCCAGACCAAACAGTCACAGTGAACCCGAATTATCAGGACACATCGATGATTGCAAGTACATTAGGCATAGCTGAGAGGAACTATGTTTGGGTGCCTCTCATGACCTAGTCCTTCTTTTTGTCCTTCACTTCCTCGTCGTCCGTGTACTCTGTCGGCTCCTCACCAGGCTTCAAGAGTTTGCCGATATAATCGTATTTGTCTGTCAGGAAAAAGCCAGAATACTTGCTAGATGAAGCCCGACACAAATATGCAGTGTAAAAACAGGCTGTGAAAGTGCTTTGACTCACAGGTGAACTGCGTCTCCCACTCGCCCAGGCTCTCCTGCTGCTCTGCAGTGAGGTCTGAAAGATCGTCGTGTGTGTCCTTCAAGGCCTCCTTCTCTAGACAGAACGTAGCCAATCCTCTGGAAGCATCTCTGCCTGCAAAGACTCCATAAGGGCCATCTGGAAATACAAAGCACTGGAATTAATATGGTCTGTTCATCATGTTTATTCTTATGATAACAGTTTCTGGTTGTTACATCATTTCTGCGATAATGGTTGTGTTTGGAGAAGTTGAATCACATCACACTCCCATGCACTGGAAGTAATCGACATTTCACCTAATTGCGTAAAGTCCCGAAGGGGGGGGGCGACTGAAATGTTTGATTAGACCCTGATCTTTGTCCTTCTCTTCATCTCATTACTCATTCACAAGCTTCAAACAGCCCTATTGCCTCCTATCTACAAAGCGTACACAGTATGAGCATGAAATATAATCTAATTATTACAGTGCCTACATCATCAGCTAAAAAAAAAAAAATAGAAAAAACAGAAATATTAAAAAGTTTATTACACAGTCTAAACCTATCCCTTGGCATTTCAACTTGGTCAGTAGGTTAGAGGTTTTCCGAATGTTCCAGTGGCCAAGGAAGGAAATAAGGGGTGTGACTCAAGTGAAACAAAGTGCAGTGAGAGTAGAAGTGCAAAATAAAACATTTGCAAAACTGAAAAGAGGGAAAACATGGAAGATATTTAAGTAACAAACACTTGCTTCTCAATTATTTATTGCATTCATAAACAAACAAATTAAAAACACATGCACTAAGAAAGACTATGTCCGTCCGTCCCCCTTTTTTTTTCTTTTCTTTTTTTCTTTTTTCCAAACTACTCAGTGTGTTACCAGGCCCGTAGAACTTCTTTCCTCTTGTCACATCAAACACTTTGCCTCTGACAGCCATGAGGATCCTCGGGTTTGTCACTCCGTCATACTGCTTCAGCTCCTCCAGAGTCAAGTCCCTCTTCTTCAGCTTGGGTAACGGCTCCTCAACTTCAGCCACTTCCGCAGGCTTGTCTCCGCGAAATATCTTGTACAACAGAAACAAACAAAGGCACAACAAACTCAGGTTTAGAGGCGACGTGAAAATTTCTTCAAGAACCCCAGCAGAAGTTTGCTCGCTTGCCTCTTCCGCCATTTTTGTTTCTGACTCTCTGCGTGAGAGAGCAAAACGAAGCGTAGCGAGCGTGAGCTTCTCAGACGACCAATCAGAGAAGCGGTTCCACACGCGACTGTTCCGGATTAGCCAATCAGCTGCCAGGAAGATTCTCCTTCGTCTTTTACATATTAACATATTTAAAGTTTGTGAATTTACTTGATTTAGGGCGGATTGAGGTGTGTGGAAGTTACTTTTCTAAGTAAAAAGTATGTTGTTAAGAACGCCAGGCATGTTGTATTCAACCAAATGGCGACTAAAGTGGTTTTATTAAAACCACTAGTGACATGTAGACGCATATGTATTAATCCACCCAAAAACAAACAACAACAACAAACAATCTTGCTCTATTTGCACAAGGACTACTTACTGCTATTGCACTTTTCTGCATAACTGTTACAGTTTACTACTGCTGTCCATAATCTTGCACCTTACTTCTACTGTAAATACTTTTATTTAACTTGTCATATTTATTGCTATTTGCATTTGTGGATGACCCCACACACCCCTCACACACACTCTTCACCCTCCTGCCATCTGGCAAATGGTACCGAAGCATTCGGGCCCTCAAGACCAGACTGTGCAACAGTTTCTTCCCCCAAGCCATCAGACTCCTTAACACTCAGAAACAGGACTGAAACAACACACACACACACACACACACAAAACTGTACATCCTCCATCCTCTTTGCAATTCTTTGCACATCCCCACATTACATTATGCTGCTACAAATATTTATTATACCGTACATACAGTATCTTATACTCTGTACTAGGCTGCTACTTCTTATGTTTACACCTACAGCAACTTATATTGTACTATTTTTGCACTATTGTCACTGGATCCACTTTCTAATAGAACTGTGTACTGGGACTTGCTGTGTCCATTGTCTCTCAGTAGTCATTGTACTGTCTTGTGCTGTCTGCACATGTTTGCACTTGTGCACTTTATGTATAAATTGATGTAGTCCCTTGTAGTTCTGTGTTGTTCTGTGTTTGTCCTGTGTAGCACCTTGGTCCTGCACTTGGATGGGTTAAATGCAGAGCATAAATTCCGAGTATGGACCAACATACTTGGCTACACATCACTTCACGTTAGTTTGGATGCAGGCTTTTGGTGTAATGGCGCTCCGAACCACCAGAT